AGCCTATGAAAATAATATAAAATTCAATTTAAATAAATGTCAGTTAGGTATTAGTGAAATAAAATACTTAGGTTTAAAATTTACTAAATATGGTATTTCTGTTGATGAAGAAAAAATCGATGCAATAAAAAACATGCCCACCCCCAACAACAAAAAAGAGGTTCAAATTTTCTTAGGAATGGTCACATACGTAGGCAGATTTGTACAGAACCTGTCAGAATTAACTAAACCATTAAGAGACTTAATTAAAAAAGACATTTTCTTTAAATGGGAAAAAGTTCATACTGAAGCTTTTCAAAAATTAAAAAATGAAATTATGAAGGAACCATTACTAAGATATTTTGACCCAAAATTACCTATAACTATTTCTGTAGACGCTTCACGTTCTGGTTTAGGGGCAGTATTGTTACAAAATGGTCAACCTTGTGCATATGCATCTAGAGCAATGACCGAAACGCAGACAAGATACGCTCAGATCGAAAAGGAACTTCTTGCCATATGCTTTGGTACAAATAAATTTTATCAATACATCTATGGTACTAAATGTAATGTAGAAACAGACCACAAACCCCTAATTTCAATTTTTAAGAAATCCTTAAACTCATGCCCTGCTAGACTTCAAAGGATGTTAATATCTTTACAAAAATTTGACATAAATCTTATTTACAAACCAGGTAAACAATTAGTCATGGCTGACACTTTATCTCGGTTAAATGAAACTAAAGAATTTAATGATCAATTAAATTTAGAAGAACAAGTATGTTTAATTGAAAAAAATGTCAAAGTATCTGATACAAAAATTGAACAATTAGCAACTTCGACTAACAATGACAAAAATTTAAAAATTATAAAAAACTACATAAACAATGGATGGCCTAAGTCGTTAAATAAAGTTCCAAGTCAGTTAAAACCATATTATAAATTAAGATCTGAAATAACTTTAGGTTCAAAAGGACTTATTTATATGGGACAAAGAATAATTATTCCGACAGAATGGCAAAATAAAATTTTAAGCGACATACATGTAGGACATCTAGGGATTCAAAAATGCATATTAAAAGCCAGGAATTGTGTATATTGGCCAAATATCAATCAACATATTGAAAATTTGGTTAATAGATGTAGTATTTGCAATAAATATGCTAACTCCAATACAAAAGAACCGTTAAAATCACATCAAATTATTAAATCTCCTTGGAAAAAATTAGGGATAGACTTATATGAGTTGTATAGTGAAACATATTTGATTGTAGTGGATTATTATTCAAAATATCCTGAAATTTGTTCTTTAAATCATGACTTAACTGCTAAAAATGTAATAAATAAATTAAAAAGTATATTTGCAAGACATGGTATTCCATATTTAGTTGTATCTGATAGTGGTAGTCAATTCATTAGCAAAGAATTTCAAACATTTGCAAATGAGTGGAATTTTAAATCAATAATTGCATCTCCACATCATCAGCAATCGAACGGGCTTGCTGAAAGAACAATTCAAAGTCTAAAAAAGATGATCAAAAAATGCAGTGATAATAAGGAAGATATTTATCTTGCTTTACTGTCATTTCGAAATACACCCGTAGTAAACACCTATTCGCCTTCACAAATTTTAATGTCACGACATTTACGAGATCACTTACCCATTTACGATAAGAAATTAAATCCTGCAATTATAAGTAAAAACAAATATCATGAATTATTAAACAGATCACAAATTGTGAGCAAACACAACTATGACAAACAAGTTAAAAAGTAATCGTAAACGATTTACATAAAGCGCATTTCCACTTGCATTCATTTCCCATTTGTAAGATGCAACTTCTGTTAAAATCGTAAAATCCGGCCACAAATATGAAAGATAGCGTTGCACATGGGCAATCCATTTTTGACGTGCTACTTCAATTTCAGTTTATGAGAAGAAATTCATTTCAATGCTTTTCTAAATAAGAAAGTTGGAACTGCGCATGCGCAAACCTAAATTTTAAAACTAATGTTAGATTTTCCTTTGTTCCAAACGCCTAAGTATCAAATTTCACTTAAATGGTGCCATAGATAAAAAAGTTGGCACTGCGCATGCGCAAAAGAAAATTTTGAGACTGGCGCTCGATGATCCTTTATTCCAAGTGCCTATGTATCACATTTCATTTAAATTTTTCCATAAATAAAAAAGTTGGCACTGCGCATGCGCAAAGCCAAATTTTGAAACTGGCGTTTGATTTTCCTTTATTCGAAGTGCTTATGTATCAAATTTCGTTGAAATTCTTCCATAAATAAAAAAGTTGGCACTGCGCATGCGCAAAACCAAATTTTGAAATTGGCGTTTGATTTTCCTTTATCCCAAGTGCCTATGTATCCAATTTCGTTTAAATTCTTCCATAAATAAAAAAGTTGGCACTGCGCATGCGCAAAACCAAATTTTGAAATTGGCGTTTGATGTTCCTTTATTCGAAGTGCCTATGTATCAAATTTCGTTTAAATTCTTCCATAAATAAAAAGTTGGCACTGCGCATGCGCAAAACCAAATTTTGAAATTGGCGTTTGATTTTCCTTTATCCCAAGTGCCTATGTATCAAATTTCGTGTAAATTCTTCTGCAAATAAAAAAGTTGGCACTGCGCATGCGCAAAACCAAATTTTGAAATTGGCGTTTGATTTTCCTTTATTACAAGTGCCTATGTATCAAATTTCGTGTAAATTCTTCCGCAAATAAAAAAGTTGGCACTGCGCATGCGCAAAACCAAATTTTGAAATTGGCGTTTGATTATCCTTTATTCCAAGTGCCTATGTATCAAATTTCATTCAAATACTTTTATAAGTAAAAAAGTTGCAATTCGGTTTATAAATGGTCGAGATGCGAAAAGGGCACTGTGAATTTTGAATCGATTCGATTCAACTTTTGGCATTGCGTATTATATGGCTAAAGCTATCCCCATATTGAATTTAATGCAATTCAGTTCATAACTAACGGAGATGTAAAAGCGATCGAACATTTCTAAACAAAGTTATCGTTCACACGGACAGATAGATGGACCGACAGACAAAGGAACAGACGGACAGACCAGCATGCAGACGACAGATAGCAATGCAAAATTATAAACGATCTCTAGGATCGTTAATAAACGGCAAAAGTGTAAAATTATAGAACATGTAAAAAAACGGTTTTTTGTTTTTTTTTACAATAACTTTTTTTGTAAGCGGTACAGAAAAATTCCTTCCTTGGTACAAGACTCGACACCATAACGAACCAAATAGCGAAAAAAGTAGAACAATAGCTTTTAAGATAAAAAACTAGTAGCGTCGCAAAGTTAGCGGACGGACGGACGGGCGGACGGACGGACGGACGGACAAAGTGGCCACAATAGCGCATTTTTTTTTTATTTTTGTGGAAATGCGCTAAAAAGTTAAATACAGAAATGAATTACCAAATAATGCTCTAATATGGTATCAAAAAACACCAAATGATATTTGGAGAAAAGGTAAAATTGTAGATAAAGTTAGGGATAGAACTTATAAAATACTAACTGAAAATGGGAAGTATTTAAGAAGAAACAAATATTATATTAAAGAATCTAAATGTAAAGAGTTTCAAGTTTCTAATTATAATTCAAGTTTTGTTGCTACACATGTATTTAATAAATCTAAATGCTTGGATAATGAGGAACCTGAAAATATAAATACAAATTCTTGTAGTGATCAAAATTGTAATACTGATACTAATGTAGAACAATGTAGATTTAGGAAAACGTTTGAGAAAATTACCTTCTAAGTTCAATGAGTTTGTGGTGTATTGAAATTGTTAGTTTTCTTTTTTTTATTTTATAAAAAGGGAGATGTTAGGTATATATTTAAGTATCGACAACACTGTTAAGAATCGTACGGTTGTATATTTGTAACTAAATAAAGCAGTCTGAACTCGTCTCTTGCTCGTTTAATACAACACATATGTTGAAGATATATTACTATGCTGCAGAAAGTTTTATATTGAGAATGTGGTAACTCTAAATAGTGTAAGTGTATGTGATGAAACTGTCAACGATAAACAGAAATGGCATGATCAAAGACGGTTTCGAGTTACTGGAAGCAGGTGCTATTCGTTATATACGTACAGAGGTGCCAATTGGACTGCCAAAGTAAAGAGCTTGTTTTTCCCAAAGCCATTTAGTAATAAATTTATTACTCATGGCATACAATTTGAGCCAATTGCACGGCAAATGTATGAAACAATCCAAAACATTAAAGTGGTGGAATGTGGACTCATTGTGTCGGACAATAATCCCTGGTTAGGATACTCTCCTGATGGAGTAATAATTGAAAACCATATTCCGGTTAAATTAATTGAAATTAAGTGTCCATGGCAAGGTCGTAATTTAAGTATTACTGAATTGTTGCCAACTTGTTCGTATCTGCAGAAATTGGACAATGGTAAATTTCAATTAAAGAGAAAACATCAATATTATGGACAAATTAATTTAGGAATGGCAATTTTAAATATTAGTGAAACAGACTTTATCATTTTTTCTAGCAAGGATAATTCAATGTATATTGAAACTATAAAGTTAGATTTAGATTTTTGTCGCCTTATGCTTCCAATTTTGAAATACAAATATTTTCACAATATTTTACATAAACTTTGTTCTTTGGTCGATTGATATCCTGTTTGGTTGAATTAAATTGTAGTTAATGTAAATTGAGTAAGAAAAATAAATTGGTATCACTTTGGTGATTTGTACAATACATAATGTGCATATCGAGGGGTAAACCGCTGACGGAAATTTGTACACTTACTTCCAGTTTTGTCAAATACTTCCTCGTTTCGTGCATACTTCCACATACTTCCGCTTACTTCCATCTACTTTCATCTACTTCCACTTACTTCCATCTACTTCCACATATTACTTACCCTTATTTCTACTACTTTTATCCACCCATTAAGCGTCCTTGAAATATGTGAATGCGAATTAGGTTTGTTACGTCAAAAATTAAAAAAAAAACAGTAATGGAACATTGTATAATACAAAAAAAATCAACGTTAAATGTACACATAACTGAAAAACTAATCAAACTTAAATTCAAATTAAAGAATAACTACGTGTTGCTTTTACTTCTTCATGCGCTTATATTTTGCTTCTATAGCAGTTAACTGAGTCCTGTCTAATTGAAATGGAGATGCTCCTATTAACTGTACGGGCCCGAAAAAAATATATCTACTGTCAACGTTGGCGATGTCTTCATTTTTAGGCCAGTCAAAACTATTAAGATCCCTTTTTAAAAATTTCATTTTATAAACACTGGAGTGAGCATTGGAATTTGGAATGGATTCTATGTCGCCAGTTGAAATAATTCTTCCTATGTACCACGCTTCATCATAATATACGGCATAATAATTTTCAGGCAGTATTGTGCAACACGAATTTTCACCGTATTGTTCATTTTCTTTATCTGAATCATAAACGTCTGTTTCTGGTGAGCTGCTATCAGGTGAACTTTCGCTGAGAATCCTTTTTTTGTTTCGACCCGTACTAGTAACTATTTTGTTTGCAGGTTTTTTGTTTGAGGATAATAGTATTTTTGATGTTTTGTCCAGTTTGGGTTTTCTCGGGGTTTTTTGGATGTGTGAAATCTCGAAAGGCGATCTGAACTAATTCTAACTTTACCTTTTTCAAGCAGCCAGCAAAATGTGGATTTTTTCAATTTTTCTCTTTTTCCTCCGGTTATAACTTCTACGTAAGGGGTAGAAGAACTTGATGATGCCGTTGATCTTTCTTCAGGAATTTCAACTTCCATATCAGCAGATATGTCGAAATCATCATTAACATTTTCATCGTTATTTATGTTGTCACTAAATACGGTATTTATTACGTTTTCGTGCACTAGACATAAAGAGTCTTCATTTTGGTTGACACTAGATATGGCTTCGTCCATTTTCGATTCTTCACTATATTGTTGCAATTCATCTTGAGTAAATTTTTCATCAACTTTTAGTGGTATGTTTAATTGGTTGTATGCTTTTCCAAAAACCTCAATTCCCAAGTTTTCCGCTGCCAATATTGAATCACTAAGAGCTTGATGAACAATTCGTTCGATATCGGTGTCAGAGAAATTCAGTGCTCGAACAAATTCAGAGTCATTACACTTTGAAAAGTTTGGTACTTTTGGTTGTCTTTTTTCGCGAGGAAATATTAATGTTCCATGCAAATCATTCATAAGATTATTAATCACTTTAATTCTGTCAAGTCGTTCCATTATGTTTTTTAAACTAAAATTGACAACGGTCGAAAAAGTCGAAGTCATTGAGCGAGTGGCACGGAAAATTTGCTCACAAACTTGGCTGCTGAATAGATGAGGAATAAACATATTGAAATCTAGATCGTGTTTGTGGAATAATCTAATTATTTTTATAATAGAATGAGCATTTTGCTCGATACAGAGGTAAGCATTAGACGTCAAAAAATTATCACTCAATTTAAGACTAGCTGTATTAAGAATCCATTGTCTCCAAATTCTTAGAAAAAATACACAGTACCACATACGATAAATTCTGACTTCAACTGTCAGCGCTTGGTCTAAGAATGAACTTGTAGCATACTGCATTATTCTTTAATATTGAACTGTGGCATCTGTTTCTTCTGAAGTTTCCTCTGATAACTTTTTTAAGAGATTTAAAACAGCCTCGCTACATATTTTTTCAGCTGATCTAAAATTCATTTTAACCTCATTATTTAAGTCGCTTTCGGCCAGAAAATGGTCATTTTTTGGGAATCGATGTATTAATAAAAATAAATGATCAGGATTTGCAGTATACCTGCCCATTATCAATGGTTTACCCGCCTTCAATATTCTTACTCGCAACTTGGTAGCGATATGAACCGTATCTTGTATATATGATTGAACAACATTTAAATCACTGTTCATTTGGTACCATTCCCATTGACTTATTTGTAGTTCAGGTGGCAGGGAAGATAAATAACGCATACTTTTTAAAAGGCGCGTGTCTCCGTCAGAGGAATACCCTAATACAATTATTCCGCGCTCGTCCAGTTGTCTCGTCATTGTATTCCATCTTGACGTTACATCTGTGTATCGAAACTTGTTATCTGTTCCATAGATTGCTAGGCAATAGGAGGGAGCTACTTCTGATAAAGACTGCGCCATGATGACATATGCGTATTCGGATTTTTTATTATTTTGAAAGTATCCTTCAATTGCCTGAGCGGACAACGCAACATATGATTCCATTTGTGGAAACCCGTCCTTGAGGGGCATAACAAAACCGATAACTTTGTTTGTTGTCGAATCGTATTCGATTTTTCCAGTAATACGAGTGGCGTCCTCACTAATCCACACATATTTAGGAAGTTTGCGATTTTCTAAAAATAATTTCAATCCGTCATAATCGAATTCGCCTTCTTGAATTTTGTTTTTATTTTGGTCCACATACCGATTCAAAGTTGATATTGCCGGAAGAGCATTTTTGAGGTTCGCTTCTAAAGTTTCGTATAGGAGTCTTCCTCCAATGTAGTAGAGGTATATTGCAAACTGCTTGATCACATCTGTATATCGATTCCTATTACTAGATTGCATCGAATTTTTAATCGCTACTTCCATTAGTGTTTTAAGAAGGGAATTTGTCCCTGTTTCATTTGTACTTTTTTCACATGTAGCATAATCAGTATTACTTTTGCATACGTTTTCATACTCGGCGATAAAAGCACAGCTTTTTGGATTTGTCTTTAGAATGTGTTCCACCCGAGCTTCGACCGCGTCTAGCAACTGATAATAAGATGTTATTAACGGCTGCGTAGAATCGTCCATTTTATTAGTATGTGTTATTGAAGTAATTCTTGTTTAATCAACAGTCTCGGATTTTGGAGTAGGATTGGTAAAAAAATCCATAATTGCGGTTTGTTTACGTTGCTGATAGCCAGGCGGTTCTTGGTGCGTTTTATTTGATCGACGTGAAGTGGTTGACGCGCGGGTTGATGTATTGGGCACTGAAACGTTTAGATGTTTTATAAAATGTTTATGAAAATTACTGTATATCCATTTACTTTGGTGAGTAGTTTTGGTGGATATTTTTGAGATTTTTGCGGTCGTATTACAATAACATTTTACAATGCACTCAAACTGTCCAGTAATTAAATTGCCTCTACAATTGATCTCAAAGTCATTAATTTTTTGTTTAAAATATAACCATTGTTCATCACTGCACTTGGTTTTAATCCATTCATGCAAAACTTTGGAGACACGCCTATTTTCTTCTGTGAGGTTGAGATCTTTGTTGTTAACATTTTGACCTCGATTTTGACTGTAGCTGTCGTTGTTTTGGCTCGAGTTTGAAGTTGAAGGGTAAGATTTTGAAATTGCTTTTTCGGTGTCATTTTGTCTATATTGACGATCATCTCGTGCTTTTTGCTTCACAAACTTGTTTTGCTTATCTTTAAAATAATCCCGTACTTTATACAGCAATTTTTTATGACCTGTCACTATTTCAAATAAAGTGGGTTTATTTGCAAAATGCCCAAGATAGTTTTTATATTCACTTTCAGGAATTATTTCTAACAATTTGTGTCGAGCAAAATCTTCGATTTCAGTTACATCTTTTTCTGATATATCTCTAATCGATTCACAGTTATCGAAGCCAGTAATGTTGAGTATATTTTTTAATGTAATAGGTAGCTTAAAGTTTAGATTTTTCTCAACTTCGTTAAAAACATCCTCCGCAATGTCCTCTATTTGATCCATGTCAAATTCAGTAGGTAGTGCAAATTGTTAACTACTCGGCACGGCTCGGCGTTTTTTTTAGCTGTATAAAAAAAAATTTGTATAATCCAAACTGTTGCTCGTTTTAATTGCGAAATAATAAATAAAATAAAATATTTAAAGGTATCTTTTTTTGTTTACCTATTTTTACTACGTTTTTTATCTTGCTTATGTATCTGTCCGGTTAAAATTTTGCAATCGATTTTAAACTTGTACTTTCCGACAGTTGAATGTTTGAAATTTATGAGTTGGAAAATTAAAATCGTTAATTTCATAATGGTTAGGTATGTAATATTGGGCCTATAAAAATATATTTCATTATATAGGATCTCGAATGTACAAAGAAACTACGACGAACGCAAGTTGATGTATTTTGTAAGGTGTAAATTGCGAGGTGAATTGCAAATTGCCGAATACGTAGTAGTAGCATTGTATTTAACAATGGTAGTAGTAACGCCGGACTCAAATATGACCGGATACGGTGTCATATAACCGCGACGATAACCGGTACTCCGAATTCTAGACACCGCTATCTAGGCAAAGTTATGATAAATAATTTTGAAATGCCGTAGATTGCCGCGTTTTATATTGTAAGTGACGTAGGAGTAGAAAGATGATTCGTGACTATGAAAATAACATTCTATATCGAGAAATGTCAACTTACCCACATTGATTTGTTTTATAAACGTTCTACAGAACGCGCTTAAAACTATATTGTATTTCACAGTGCACGACGTAAAGTATGAACGGTTTTACCGAGGGGTTTCTCACTTCTGAAAATTTGTACATGTATTGCGCAAATTGTAATGATTGCGCTTGATTTCCAACTGATTGCGCGATTTCCGATGATTGCGCTAGCTGTGGATGACTGCACGCTTAGAGCTGGCGATTTACATTGATTGCACGATCGTTGTGTGGATTGTGCATTGATTGCGCTACTTCATAATGCCCAAATGGTGTGTATTAAATATCCTTCCCTAATTATTTTAGATAATGGTCTATTTAGGTGTTTTCTAGATGTTTTTGTTTTAGTTAATTCTTTTGCAATACGTGGACTGAAGGACCATAAGATATATTTTTTTGTTGGTTAAATGATAATTTCCGCCCGAACCATACAAATACTTAAATAAACGTTGGGCACGTACCTGGCGTGGCTGAGTGGCTGATTTCGGTGAGCTGCTGTACCGGCTGATGGGGGCCCCCAAAGATTGTTTTGGTTTTTCACTTTTTAAATTCATAAAATGCACGTGAAACTAGTGCATGCTTGACTCTTGTTCGCACATAGTTACGTCTTCACTCGCCCTTCTCTATTCATTTTTAAAGTGTTTTCGCGAATCCGCCCGAGTGCCCGATTGTAGGTACTTGTATGATTTGAAAATTACGCGCCGAAACAACTGAGGTTTAAACACTAGAGAAAAAAATAACGAACCTGTGCATACGATTGTGTTCTATAGGTGTATTATAAATTCAGAAACAGTACACATTTTAAAATTAAAAACTGTGGCGTTTAGAAAGTCGATAACGCCATATGGAATTATGAGATCAATCAAAAGCGCATGTATTTATCATTAGTTTGAGATTTATTATTTACTACAAACTAAGTAATTATTAAAGGCAAACTAATGATAGAGAAATGCAAGAACTTTGTTTGATCTCAAACTGCCATGGCATCACTGATTTTCCTAAAAGCGCCGGTTTTCAATTATCCAATTTTTCTAGTTTCAAAACTCAAAAACTTAAAAGCTATGGCACGCATCGATTCGTCATTTTTAGCAAACACAACGAAGTTAAGGTAACGCTTATGTGCTCGATTTCCGTCGTGTGTCTGTCTGTCTGTTTCATCGAGATCTCGTCCCCTGGGCCACATAGACACTTTGGGTTTTCCCTAATTGATAGCTGATATGATCTATATTCGCCCGTTACTTATCATTTACAGTTGTGTAAAGCTGGTCCCAGACGATTCGTGCATTCGGCGAACGTTCGTAATTCGGGGTAGTTCGCGTAGCGTGTGGGAGACCAGTTTGTCTTGCTACGGCGAACGTTTTTCATTCGCCAAAGCTTTCCGCAGATTGTCGGTAAAAGTGTACGAATCAAAGGGATACAAAACGTGGTTCGTCAAGCTCCCACACGGTTCGTTAAGTACCCGTACTTTTAAACGACTTATTTTAACCGTTTTTTAACTCAGTTGGGTGATACCAGTGTCGGAGGTAAGTTGTATAGGGATTATTAACCACGAATAGAATGAGTTCTTGCTTTGTGTAGGTACGATTGTACGAATAGTAAATATCAAATTCAAGAGACATGGAATGGACCAATGAGGCAACGTTAGAGTTTCTGCAACTATACGAGCAGGAAGCGGTGTTACGGAATCCCAAAAACCCGGACCACAAAAACCGTAATAAAGTTGCCGATGCATGGAAGAAGATTGAAAACTCTTTTACTGGCAATTGCGCAGTTAATGAACTAAAAAAAAAGAAAGATTCTCTGATGGCAATATTTCGTCACTTACTAAATAAAGTTAAGGCCAGTATGAAATCGGGTGCTGGTACGGATGACATCTACAAACCTAACTGGTTTGCTTATGACATAATGGAAAGGTTTTTGAAAGTTATTTACTTCCCAAGAAACACATTAAACACAGAGGTATGTACATTTTAACTTTATTCGTACATTTGAAGGTGGTAAATAAAACAACGTAATTTAAATCAATTTAAAGATAAGCTAAAGAATTTGAAGTCAAAAAATAAAGCGAAAAATAAAGCTATTCTGAAATAACTCCCGATATACTAGATATGTAGATATTTGTAAATACATATAAAATTTAACAATAGGCGTCTTGCCATGGCAATTTCCCAGTAGTGGCAAAATATTCCGCAAAAGAATCTCTAATTTCTTTAGGCAAGCGTGATGACCTTCGCGGAATATTACGGAGCGGCAGTAAAGACGACATGTTACCATCTTCTTGTCGCCATGCTCCTGGAAAAACTTGCCCATTGTTCTCTCTATCAAATGTGCCAGGAGGCGCGTAATGGGATTTTGATGTTTTACTTTTTCGTAAAAAATTGTGTAGCAATATACAAGTCATAACAATGTTAGATGCCTTGTCGGGTTGAAGTAACATTGGTTTCCTAAAGACGCGGAATACTAATGCCAGTATACCGAAAGCGTTTTCTACTACACGGCGAGCACGTGATAAGCGATAATTGAAATGCCTTTCTTTACTACCTTTTTCATGAATCCCTGGATATGGTTTCATTAAGTGTTCGCTTAAACTGAAGGCATCATCAGCCACTATTACGTACGGTAAAGAAGATTGGTTTGCGCAAATGGGTTCAGGTAAGGGAAAATTCAATTCATTCGCTTCCATTTTCTTAAACAGGGTGGTGTTTCGAAATACGCCTCCATCGCTTATGCGCCCCTGGCAGCCAACGTCAGCATAGGTGAAACAATAATTGGCGTCCACCAAAGCCATCAAGACAATACTAAATGTGCCTTTATAATTAATAAACTCTGACCCACTGTTCGTTGGGGACACAAGCACGACATGCTTCCCGTCAATTGCTCCCAAGCAGTTCGGGAAATTCCACGTCGTGTAATACTCTTCCGATAATTTTTTCCATTCTTCAGTTGTCTGCGGCATCTAAAATCAATTGTATTGTTCATACATTATTTCATTACTAAATCAGTAATTAATAGCTAGTAATTGCGGAAGTATCACTAACTGTTTGGTATCACATTAAAATGTTTTCGACAGTAACTCTAATTTTACAACATTTTAACCATGGGCTTGGTTTTAGGCAGAAAACGATAATTCAGAGATGGTGGAAGACAATGAAGAACGAAGTCTCGGAAGTCCGAAACCTGTTTCACTTGGGACTAAGTCTAATAAAAGAAAGACGATGTCATTGGAAGCGGTGGAAGACCATTTAATAAAAGCGGCAAATGTAATGGAACGAGTATCTAATAAGCAAGGGAAGGACGATTGCTGTCTTTATGGTGAACTTCTTGCCACAAAACTGAGAGCCTTGGATGAGTGCAATAGAACCATTTTGATGAACCAGATAGACAATTTGGTATTCCAAATGACGATGAAGGTTAAACAAAATTTTAATAATGCAGCTTCTGCGCATTATCCAGTTTCTCAGTCTTATTTGGAATCATACCATGCCAACATTCAACCTCATCCAAGTAGCGTCTCTGTCCAAACACCTAATTTTTCACATATACAGCCAAATCCACCTACAGGCAATTACCTTCAAACCTTTAACACACGTCGACCATTTTCCTCATTGTCCACACATTCGCCACATTTTTCCCCTCAGCCATCCCCTTCAAGCTCTGCTTCTATTCAATCACAAAATTACTCCCCTCAACCATCTCCCCTTCCACCAATTTCTCTCTCCGTAAATGAGAGTGATTATACTTTAAGAGACAGCGAAATCGAGATGCAGAACAACAATTATCAAACTCAATAATTACGTTATATTCTGAATAAAAATGTTTTTGTAATAATATTAATTACCTAATTATTTACCTGTATTTCTTCTTTCGTAACTTCTATGATAGCTTGGCAGACTTCATGAACAATGTCCGATATCACTTGATTGGACATTTTAAATAAATATGACAAACTTACAAAGCTGTCCCCTGAGGCCAAAAATCTTAGTGTTACCGCTAATCTTTCATTGGGTGGAATAGATTTTCTCATCACTGTGTCTTTCTTGGTTATATAGGGCCCTATTTTGTTAAGTATGTGCTCGAAATCGACCGCAGACATTCTACAAAAGTTTTCAAATTTTCCGGACGGTTCATTTGTTAAGTCTTGCAGCATATTTGTTCCACTATAGCTGTAAATAGATAGTTACTAAATTACTGTAGAGGAGGCGAAGTAATCACTTCGCAAACGATTAACTAAAGAAAATATTACATACCTTCCGCGGCTTTTATTTAAAGACAACGCCCACCATCTTCTTTTTCTTCGGGACTTGTTTTTCATTTTCAAAATTAAGGCACTGCTTAAAACACATGAAGCCGCAGCGGCGGCAATAACCTCATCTTCGCTATCCATTCTTTAGAACTCAAACACACCTACTGCACTGGCGCGATATCATAAAGTTTGCTAAAATAGTTCGCCAAACTACCCGGAACCCCGAATATTCGTCGAATACGCGTACTGTGTGGGAACCTAAGCGAACACGCAGACGTTCGTGTATTCGCCGAATGCACGAATCGTCTGGGACCAGCTTTACGTGGAAACACTAACGAGTGGGTTTTGAAACATTTGCTTCGCTAAAAAAACCTAAATGGACTTTATCTCTAAAATAATTATGGAAACCGACAATCGGAAATTAAAAAATTGCTATTGAAATTCCTATTGTGCGTTGTTCAAATCACCACCCGGTATGTAAAAATCCGTAAATCGCTTTTTGGCGATTTATGTGTAAATTTCCAGGAATATTGAGGAATTGAGTGGGAAATTTGCATGAATATTTAAGGAAACAAGATAATTTTTTTTATTTATTATTTTTTTTATTTATTTGGCTTCTGATAGAGTTCAGATACCGTTTCTGAATTGCAGCTTTTTGGCTTCTACCAACTTGAAAAGGGCCGCTTCCCAACAAATCCACTGGTCCATAAAAGATAAATCGTTCTTCTACATTCTGTAAATCTTCTTTCCTTGGCCAAATATAATTATCATTCTTTAAATTTAGGAAGCGTATTTTATACAAAATGTTTCCTTCATTTTCTTCTCCTACTTTTTCTATAACTTTACCAATATACCATTGGTCCTTGCAGTCGTCATAAGGCACACAATAATAATTTCCTGCTCTTATGTTTATTTCTGTTTCCTGGAGCATTCCATCGATATCTTCTTCTGCTTGGTTTGCTAATTTAAAAGATCAGTAAAGATTTAATTCTTTTCCTTATGGTACTGATTTCAACCTACCTTTTTGTGCACTATCGTCGGTCCTTTCTTTTAAAGATGGCTTCACGCTTTCTGTCATACCTCGGCATCTAAGTAATCTATCCGTGGATAAATAACTTTTGTTGTCATAAAACAACCAGCCATAATGTACCTAGATTTTCTGACAATTTTGTCATTACCATTTATAGTCACTTTCAAATATGGTGTTTCTTTAACAAGAATATCGTGTTGTAGCTTTTCTGTATCATAATCCTTTATATCCAACGTCTTGAATTTTGATAGAATATTTAAGTCGTCATTAATTTCTTCAACATCTTCACTATGGATAATATCATCATTGTCTTCTACTTTCGCTTCACTAGTACTGTCATCACGTCTTTTATCCTTCGTATCATTTTTTTCTTGGCATTTGTTCAATATTATGGTGGTGACGGCTATTTCTATTTCATCATGTTCTAACAAAATATGTAAGTCTCTCGTGGCCATTATCGCATATCGGCATTATCGGCGTAACCCTTTCCCAAATAGGTATATGAGCTCCATCTCCCTTCAGGAAGCCATCTCCAACGACGCATTCAACCCCATTCGCCAACTGGAGTGTTCCGAGATCCAAGAGAGCTTAGTGCCAGTTCGGGGCTAACGCCCCCCGGTGAGTTACTTAATTAATTGGCGAGGATTGCGGTTAAGCAGTCGCGATATTTGTTTACATGACCCTTGAGCGCGGGAGACGACCAGTCAGACTGAATGCTGCCATGCCAACCCCTTATGCGTAGATTACAGAAGGACGTTTTTAATGAAAGGTGAGTTTACAGTAGATTTGTCGCATCTTAATAATGAGCTCTGACCAACAATTAGCTCCCATTTAAATAGCGATTTCCCTTGTTGTTATATAAAATACCCCTCATTACAATTCAGGCGTGGGGTCAGAACCCAAGCGCATTTTTGCATATGATAGCGACAGTCTACGTAAACTTTCACCTCTGCGTATTAATTTGTAGTATTTTGCAATATTAATTCCCACAATGGTATACCAGTGCACCTGTGAACTTAAAGATGTGTGACGTTCGGTCGCACTCTTTGGGTAAAAGTATACTAATTTCAATAGCCCGTGTCCCAACCCTCAAATGTGAGAACTGTATTAGCGGTCCTTTGAAATCTTACACCTTTTTCTATAATTATGTAAAAGATTAGCAACACATGTTGGTGACCCTAGGGGATGAAGTGAGCCCTTGACCACCCAGGGCATCAAGAATCCTAGCAGACCAAATTAAGTCATATACATAAAACTATTAATCTGTAAACAATAATCATCATTCAAGTTCGTGTAGCACGTAATGCAAATATTCACGGATGTCGTAGATTACCAAATGACTTCGCTGATTGCGCAGCGATTGCACAACGATTGCGCTTCGATTTCGCAGATTGCGCTTCGATTTCGCAGATTGCGCTTGGATTTCGCGGATTGCACAAGGATTTCGCGGATTGCGCTGATTGCACAACGCATAGTGTACACGTATTGCGCAAGTGAATAACCCCTCGGGTTTTACACTTTTAGGCACGTGTATGATAGTTGAGATTTCGGTAGGATTTATAACATCTATTTTTGGGGATGTATACAAAGATAGTAAAACGTTTGCAGCTTCTATGTCCGCACTAGTTGCTTTTTCTGGTTTGCAGATAGGATGTCTTGTACGATCTCTGCAGACTATTTTGTTTAACCTTTCAGATCTAACTTTTACTTTTGGAGGAGCAATTGATCCTCTCACTTTCAAAGCTGGCAAATTTTTCGTAGGGATTGCATTTCGTTTTAAACGCTTTCTTTTTGTTGGTACACCTAAAATGTACATCAATATACATAAGTTAAGTAGTAAGTCAGTAAAACCAGCGACTTTAATTAAAACTACATAATTTAACTACTGTTAACACCTTAGGCCAGTATGACACGACGCTAAATTTCCTGCAAAATTTCATATACATTTTTGTACAAAAGTTTTGCTATTTTTATTTACTAAAAAGATCGTTACGTCCTGTTTGCACTACAAAATTATTTTGTCATGAATTTCGTTTGTGAGTATGCGCAATTACCACAAGGAGGAGCGACATCTTCACAAATAGGTGTAAACAAGACTGTCATACCATTAAATATATGTATTAACAGAGGCCGTATTTACTATTTTACGTTTAAAATGAATAGTACAAATTTAATAATAACAGTGGTCAATTTTGCAATTATTTCGTTACTACTAAGAAAAAAATTAAAAGCTAGGAAAAGACAACGAAAAGTGTGGAGTAAAAAATGGTTAGAACAACGAAGAGGCAAAGGGGTATTAAATTTGTTAAATATGGAATTGTCAACAGAGGATGCAGTGATGTATAGAAATTTTTTACGCCTCAATAACACTCAGTTTGAGCATATATTATCTTTAGTGGAAAAAGACATATCCAAACAAAATACTATTATGCGAGAATGTGTTTCTGCACGAAATAGGTAAGCGAAGCAAAGATGACGGTATAATTGAAAATATACCTACTCTTAATTGTTGTAGACTGGAAGTTACACTTAGATTCTTGGCAACGGGTAATTCTTATCGAGATCTCATGTTTTCCACAAGAATTCATGAGAGTACCATATCCAGATTTGTTCCGGAAGTGTGCAGTTCAATTTATAAAAATCTTAAGGGTAATTATTTACAGGCAAGTTCATAATTAAATGTTGATATGTAAAACAGTACAATTTTGTAGACTCCAAAAACAGTTGAAGGCTGGACTACAATTGCAGAAGATTTTTACAAATTGTGGCACTTCCCCAATTGCCTAGGTGCGTTAGATGGTCGGCACATTCCATTTCGGGCACCTGCTTCTGATGGTTCTTATTATTTTAATTATAAAGGCTATAACAGCATTGTTCTACTTGGAATTTGTGATGCTAAGTATAAATTCACATATGTTAATGTAGGTATAAATGGCCGTGTTAGTGATGAAGGCGTATTCCAACAAACTGCACTGTTAAAAGCTATGGAAAATCCAAGTAATCCATTAAATTTTCCCTCTGATAAAGCACTACCTGGTAGAACAATGAATGCACATTTTGTGTTTATAGCAGATGATGCTTTCCCACTGTCTAAGCGTCTACTGAAGCCTTATGCACTTAGAGGTATAACACATGATTGTAAAATATTTAATTATCGATTAAGTAGGGCCAGACGGATGATTGAAAGCTGTTTTGGCATTCTGGCTAATCGATTTAGGATTTTATTAAATCCTATAAATCTCTCACCTCAAAAAGTTGAAGTAATTGTATTAGCTTGTGTAGTTTTACATAACTATCTGGCAGAGACAAATTATCCAAATTACGTAGAAAATGTTACAGAAGAGATTTTTGAAAATGTGTTAGTAGGAATAGGACAACAAGGAGGTAATAATTCCACAAAATTTGCTCGAGATATTCGGGATGAATTTAAAACATTTTTCAATACTAGTGGAGCTGTTTCTTGGCAAGAAGCTGCAATACAAAAACATAATACTTAAATTTTTAAAATCAACTTGTGTTAGATTATTACAGTAGCCATTATAATGTTTTTTTTACCATTCTGCATTACACTTTATATTTGTAACTAATTATCATTTTGTAAGGCATTATACAATACATTTATAATTTCTACTTCTACATTAGTTTTTAGGATTTGATTTGTAATACATTTTAATTTTGAGACCACAAATTCGCCGAATATTTCCTCATTTCCCTTGGATACGACTACTTGATTTTGCATTGATGTGAATGCATTTGAAATTACATTCAAACTGCCAGTGGCTTGTTCAAATATTTTATCGGCAGAGTCGGTATGCGATTTCTTTTTACGCTTAAGCGGGGTATTGTTCGAGCTGGTCGATGGTGGTTCGGCTCGTGGTTGAGACAACTTTGGAGTATTTATATGGGCACCTTGATCGCCTTCGTCTGTTACTGTCTCGGTTAATGTATCATCAATATTATTTTCTTCATCCTAAAAATATTTTTACATTTCACATTTACTGCTGTAGCAGTTAACAATTTTAATATTATTTACATAATATTCCTGAGGACTGCTGGAACCGCTGATATCTTCTATGGTGTCCGTGGCTTTTCTAATTATATTGTGATCCAACAGAAAAAGAAGTTTACTGTAGTACCATAAGGTGGGATGGTAAACCTACAACAAAAAGATTAATTATTCCTTTACAAATTTAACTTCAGTAACGGTAACTGTCGCGTGCCGAAGAAAAATCTGGTCAAGGATAATTACAAACGTATGACCTGCATAACATTTGATGTCGTACAAGTACATTTTCCCAGACTTTTATTAAGACACCTATTTTGTATCTGTAAAATTGTTTACTTACAGCATCATCGCCTGCTCCACTACATTTGGACGCTTGCACTTTTTTGTGTTCATTGAAGAAGTTGGTCCTCAGACCTTGTAGCTTCAATTTTATTTCGTGGCTGTTAACATTTGGGCGAACACTTCTTAACGCCTTTTCAATGACTTGCATAGCACATGCTCTAGCATGTTTGTTTTTATATTCTGCACTCTTGGTCATATACAAACAGGGCCATCGTTGATAATTATCAACTAAAGTTTCTACTTGGTCGTGTGACCACGACATGATTGCATACCACACTTGCTAACGAAAGCACCAGAGACAACTCTTTTATTTGTTTCTCTATGGAAAGCACCAGCAAATCTTCAACACCAGGTAAACAAATAAACATAACCACACATTTCACAATTCGTTCATGGCTATCATCGCATTGCGCTCACTAGCGCGCAGATTTCGTATAAAATAACCGAATTTTTAGAACGAGTTTTAAAAAAATTTTCACACAAAAAATTTTGTACAAAATTTCACACAAACTAGCGAGAAATTGTGTTTGCATCGACACTAAATAATTTGTCAAAAGTTTTGTCTAAAATTGTGTATAAAATTTAGCGTCGTGTCATACTGGCTTTAGTTAGGAGGAGAGAACACAAAATAACTTACCAAATAAGAAAAAGAAATCATCTGAAAAATGTTTCGAGCACACCTTCAAATTAGGAGTAATTGGTTTATCAATTTTAAGTTTAATTTTCCATGCCTTTTGTAAATCTACTTCTTCTTGAATTCCCAGTTTTGTTACAATGTGCACTTTATATTTACCACTAGGAGGAAAACTATGAAGACTTATACCTGAATTTAATGCGCATTTACTTTTACAACCGTGCACACTACAATATTGATTGCTTTTTGCCATTGTAAACAGCTGAAAACAATGTAAACAAATAACCAAAATGGAGTTGCTCTCCCAAATGTAATGATTTAACTTGCCGCCACCAGATGTCTCACGATTATTTGGAATCGCGAATCAGTCCTAGTTTATTACGGAGATATGCAAACCGCAAACGTCCCAAAGGTTTTGTGAAGATATCACCTAATTGTTCAGCACTAGAGACATGCTCGAGTTTTAGAATACCGTCACGAAGTTTTTCCCGGATAAAGTGAAATCTAACCTCGATATGTTTAGACCGTTTGTGGAACTCGGGATTTTTAGCAAGTTTTATGGCGCTTAGGTTGTCCACATATAAAGTAGGCACAACTTGGTTAATTCGGTTAACAATTTGTTTAACCAAATTAATTCTTTTGTAGCTTCACAGGCAGCCACATATTCAGCCTCGGTAGTTGAGAGCACCACACATTTTTGCTTCTGACTTACCCACGTCACACTAGCACTCCCGAACTTACAAACGATACCCGTTGTTGATCTCCGTGTGTTGCTATCGCCTGCAAAGTCCGCGTCACTATACACGATCATTGTTCCACGGCCCGATTTATAAAATAAGCCTAAATCAACAGTTCCCTTTAGATAACGTAGAATTCTTTTCACGGACTGCCAGTCGGCTACTGTAGGAGCACACAGTTTCTGTGAAATGACACTTATCGCGTATGAAATGTTTGGACGAGTCGTTATTGCTAAAAACATTAAACTGCCTACCGCTTCTCGGAAGGGAATGGTTTTACTTAATTCAATTTTATATATTTATATTTTATATTATTTATATATTTTATATATATATTGTTCGAAAGGGGTACTGACACAATTACAGTCACTCATTTTGAACTGCTTCAATACTCGCAGCTTGGTGAATAAAAATCGAACCGTCACTCAGACATTTAATTTCAATACGAAGAAAACGCTCTACCGATACGACCGTTATTTCAAATTTCATCACGAGATGCTGTACAAATGATTTGATTTCATTTTTGTCTGTCCCTGCAATTAACCCGTCATCCACGTAAACTACCACAATTAGTTTACTCGGATGATTTCGTAAAAATAAACAAGGGTCGGCACTGCTCACACAGAAATTTTGTTCGCACATAAAGTTAAACAGCTTTTGGTTCCAGCATCGTGGAGATTGTTTTAAACCATACAAACTTTTATTTAGTTTACACACCCGATTAGTTGCGTCTCGAAAACCTTCCGGTTGGCTCAAGAATATTTCTTCCTCCAAATCCCCGTAGAGTTTTTCTGCTGCTGCCACACCGAGCACGGTCCTTATTGTTTCGTACCTCGCAACCGGACTAAAAGTTTCTTGAAAATCAATCCCATGCTTTTGAGAGCACCCTTTCGCTACTAATCTGGCCTTGAAACGCTCAATTGTGTCATCCGTTTTAGTCTTGATTTTGTATACCCATCTGCTCTGTATTGCCTTCTTGCCTTCAGGTAATACCTGCAGTGTCCACACTTGGTTTTTGTTTAGGGCTTGAATTTCCTCTGCCATGGCCTTTGTCCACTCCTCAGAATTTGAAGATCTCATCGCCTCTGCGTACGACTGCGGCGCATCTTCTGTGGTTTCTGCTATCAAAACGTAATCATTTAAGTACCTTGGCATCCGACGTTCCCGTTGGTCCACCCGAAGTTGCTCTAAGACCACTCTGCTTCCTCTTCAGATCCAGCGTCTGCGTGGGTTGTTGTAGCCAGCTCCGATTCATCTCTGATTTTTAATGCAGTTTCCAAATTTCCATCCTGGTGCTCTTCATCCTGAAGTATTGTAGGCGGTTTTCTTAAAACAACTTTCTCGTCCTTAAAGACAACGTCTCTACTTTTTATGACTACATTACTCGAACGTACCCATACACGAAAACCATCCTTTTCGTCACAATACCCAACGAAGGCACCCAGAACACTTTTTCGATCCCATTTTTGACGTTTTTGACTGGGTATATGCACAAAGCATTCAGTGCCAAAAACTTTAAAGTGCTTAATTTCAGGTTGCGGTTGCTGACCTCTTCTCCACAGTTGAATTGGGCTTTTGTCGTTCATACTGGTGGGTCCAGTTCTGTTGAGGACGTGAGCTGCTGTATTCACTGCTTCTGCCCATAATCTCACTGGCAGGTCCTTGGAATGTATCATCGATCGTGCACTTTCAACGAGCGTCCGATTTTCCCGTTCCGCGACACCGTTTTGTTCCGGCGTATAAGGCATAATTGTCCGTAAATTAATACCTTTCGAATCAAGCAACTTGAATTCCTTATTGTTAAACTCAGTTCCACCGTCACACAATATTTCTTTTATATTGTTCCCGACATTTTCACATTCGTTTAAATATTGTTTTAAACAGGCAACCACCTCAGTTTTTGATTTAATAAAAAACACAAGTCGATAACCCAAAAATTCGTCTTTGTAGCAAAGAAAATAACGTGCACCTCCAACGGATACTTCTTGCATTGGTCCGCATGTATGAATTCGTTCACCTGCCCTGTTGCAAATGTTTCATAGAAAACAATCCGTTCCAATAAAAATTCTATTGTGTCTTATTGGTTTATATTGGCAGAATTGGAAACGGTCTGGAGAACGATCTTAGTTTTGTTGGCTACTATAGCGTAAATCCAATAGCATTGGCCGTTATTGTAAATGGGTGATTCGAATTGTAAAAAAAAACTATTGTGGTTACACAATAGAAACGTTTGAATTTCTATTGGGACTTTCCAACAAGATGCACAATCGTTTTTGTATCTGTTGGCTTCTAACGTGTTTTTCCAATATTATTGTATTTGAAAGGGAATAAACAAGTTTTCCATTGTGAAAATTAATTGTTGGGAATTCCCAATGTAAATGTTACGATTTATATTGTGAATTTTCAATAGAAACAAGCACCGTTTTGGTATTAGTTGTCTCCTAATGGTGTGTTATTGCTTCTATTACCTTACCTGTTGGATTTGAGTGGTTATGATTTGATGGAGAAATAGCAGCGTTTTTTGTAGTTTTCAATTGGGGAATTTGTGTAGGTATCTACCGCGCATTCGCATTTCGCATACGCAAGACGAGACGTAACCATAACCACGAATTCTTTGCGTGTATTTTTATTTCCAAGTTTCTATTTTAACGATTTCGGTTTACGAAGACAAATACCTAAACTGTAGGTAAGTGATATAATTTTTGTGTTATTTTTAATTACAATGGTCGTATTTGTTGTGTTGATTATGTACAACCTATACCTACAACTTTATAGGTTAGGTATGGCATTTGTTATTATTCCTATTATTTATTTATGAAACAATAATGTATATAATGCCAGTAGGTCATTTTATGTGGCAAAAGATTTTCGAGTAAATACAAGTCTAGTATTTTCTAGGGGGAATGTGACAAACAATTAATAAAACAATATCGATATTGTATCTTGAGCATTCCTCCGATTCCTGCTTAAGAGTTATACGACCCCATTAATGAAACATAATTGTACAGAATAGGGCTCATAGTACTATTTTTTCTGTTTCTGTTTTTCAGTGACGCTTCGAGTTTAAACAATATTAGAAGATGTATGCATATGTCATCTTCGAAGAAGACAATGTGCCACTTGTCGTGTCTATTATTAATTAATGACATAAAATTTAAAAATTCAACTTACGAAAACTATAATTCGGCAAAAACGTACAAAGTAAAATATACCGATGGTCATTTTTATAAGGCTTTTATCATCGCAGTAGCGGGTAAGTTCCATAAAAGCTTGATTGGTTTTGTTGTTAGTATGAAGGTATTTGTTTAGAAACAATGGAAGAGGTCAAAATGAAAGCCGAGGAGAAGCGTATTCGTTTGCCTGCTGCCAAACTGAGGGAGTTAAATGTTGCAAACGATGAGATTAGTTCATCGGACAATGAAAATATTCCTCTTAATACAGTGCGAGCAATAGTATTATTACACAATATAGAAAATAAATATTGAACATTACAAGAAAGCATCAAACAGTCTCTGGAAATATGAACGTAGTCTCAAATTACTAATGTTGTTACACCATGCTTTACTACATTCACATTGCCAAAGAGTCGTTTATGTTTTTTTTTAAATTATATAATATACGATATAATACAATGCGATCAAATATGAGTTGCAGTCGCGTCGCCTTTGGAATTTTTGTTTACATGGGAAATCATATTTAACTTGAACTACCAAAGGCGACTTCAATGTCATTCCTTTTTTGATCACCTGTTACTTTATTCAGATGGAACGAAATTCCACAAAAAAACAAAAGAAGAGTCAGGAGAGAGCATACC